TAATTTGACACATATTATTTAACTGTATAATGCAAATTCCTTTCAGAATATCCTTACTCCCAGACGACTTAACTTCTTAGGTTATTTCCAAGCCTCTTCATGTAAATGGTATAATGGTAACTTAAACATTCAATACATCCAAGAACTACCCATTGTTTACTTCTTCAGACTTAAATTTTACTTAGTAACTATACTTCAAAATTTTTCTTGTGACCTAAAATATAAAATGAGTTTCCCAACTACTATTGCCCATATCAAGGGCTATCCGTCTGCCAAACCACCAGAAACTCTGCCATCATCTATTTCTCATTTCTACATCTTCCTGAGGAATTACCTAAATCACATCATTTAAAAGCTAGCATAATGCAGATCTGAAAGGGAATAGGTATTTATATGGGAAAAGAGAACAGAAAAAAATGATTCAAAAATGAACCATAAATTGGTCCATGTATTGGAGGAGGGGGAAAATAAAAAACAAGTTATTTTAGAATAAAAAGTGAGCAGTCTCTCACCTCACACTTTTTCATACTACCACATTTCCTCAATGTGATATTAAGATGAAACTGGATATATAAGCCAAAGAACTTTCAGAGCTGTAGTATATAAACATGTCAGCCATACCTAAATCACATGAGATAGAAAATCCAGATTAAGAGACATTTATGAATAAAATATTGATATTTAGGATTATGGCCAACATAGTACATGGAATATCAAGCCATTCTTACACCTAGAATTATAATGAATTAGTAGGAGTCATTTTAGTGTAACAGACACATACTTTCAGAAGAAGGTAGTGTGGACTAGTCTTCTCTGCATTTTTTAAAATGCAAAAAAAGAAAGTAACAAATTGAGATGAAAGAAATCAGGGTTTTCTTTTTCCACATAGTTGATCTTACAATAAATTGCTTCAGCTTTCGAGATTCATCAGCAGTTACTCATAGAACTGTGACTATCAACAAGATTTGATTAGCAATACAATGATAAACTTCACATTTTTAAAATTCATATCTTATTTTAAGTATACAGTTGTTCAGAAATGCTTGCCACAATACAGCAAAATGATCTAATCATTAAATACTATTTATGTTAAAGTTGAATCTCTGGCCTCAAAAGCTTCAATGTAACCACAAAAGATGCCATCAGGAAAAACAGCCAAAGATGTACCATTCAAGGCAGTTTGCAAAAATAGCACTCACAATTTATTACCTAAGAAATACATGATTTTGCATATAAAAAATATTCACTTTAAAAATAAAAACAAAAAACTTTAGGGAAAGTCCCCTTAGAAATATGTATTTTCCAATTAACCTTAGTAATCAAGTGACTACTACAGTCAGGAGCTATTCAAAAGGGGCTATTTTGTTGAAAATTATTTCACTAGGTGGAAGCTGGTTTCTAGCAGCTTTCTTTCAAACTACTTCATGAAGTACAAAACCTTTTGCATTTTCCCCATAGAACCACTACTAACAAATATGATTTTTAAAATATGAGCCAAGTTTAAGGACTCTGTCAGCCTTAAGAGTCTGTGATTAATAATACCAATGTTCAGAAATGACTATTCAATAACTCAAAAAGTAAGTTAATATTTCACACGTATATGATATAGCACATAAAGGACAATTCATTGATGTTTGAAAGAATGACTCTTTTCAGATATTTAATTTATAGAATATGATATATTAAATCTGTGATCAGGACTTAAAAACGTATGATCAGTCTGTTCAGGAATTATATTTCTTGGTATTTTATATGAAAAAATTAAACAGAAGTATAAGCCTTAACACCATGGAATTTGTTGGATTATTTCTAACCATTTCAATTGCAAACCATAGTGAAAAAAAATGGTGACACTAAGAAAATGCAACTGCAAATACAAAGTTTTGGCAAATGTCTTCTGCATGCGAAAGTATGAGATACAGATTTATTAGCTATATCAGTAATTATTCCACAAAACGAACATAACTCTCCATGTAAATTAAATCTATTAAATAGTCATGTTTCCTAAAGAAAACAAGTGACAGTTTTTGATTATGCTCTCAGTTACGTTAATCAGAGTTTGTGTATACAGAACAATTTAGTTTATTTGGAAACCAAAACCTAGTTAAAATGCTTTTGTCTATATACCCAAATTTCGGTGAGCTAATTATCCATCTTGTGAATCAGTGTTTAGACCATGAGGAAATGTAAATATTTTCTATTTCAAAATAATTGTACATTAACAAAGTACAAAAACAGTACAGAAAGGTTGTGTGCCCCTAACTCAGTTTCCCACTGTAGGGGAGCAAAACTTGCTGCTCCAAAAAGTATCTCTTTGGCATGTAGATTATTTCAGGTTGACTCTATTTAAGAAACAGAAGACTCAAGAAGTTTTTCTTTTTTGCCTTCCTCCTAACTGCTTAAAAGAATTTAGATACAGGACCTGTCCCAGGAAGGGAGTTACCATCATGGGCAACTACAGTATAATATGACCTACGGGTAGTGGACAGGGAGGAACCTGGTGAGGCCTGTTTGATCAAAGTCCTCTCTACACCCCATTGTTTCTGGATAGCCCAGCAAACACTTGTTTACCAACATTTATTCTTTTCCATTCTTCTTGTGAATTGCCTTCCTTCCTCTCTTTGAATCCCCAGGCCTCTACCCCTTTTCTCCTTTGTCCACAATGACATAAATAGCTCCTTTTGCCCCACTGGAATCTCCCATGTTTATGTGGATTTCCAGTATATAATTAAATTTGATTTTCTCTTCTTAATCTTTCTCCATGTCAATTTAATTCTTAGACTAGCCCAAGAACCTTGGAGGGTAGAAGGAAAATTTTCTTCCCCAATACCCCTGATAGAAACACCTTATATAACTACAGTAAATACCAAAACTAGGAAATTGACATTGGTACAATCAATAGACCTTTCAGATTTCACCAGTTTTACATATACTCATGTGTGCTATGTGTAAAGCTATTCAATTTTATCAGCACGTGTAAATCCATGTAGTCACCACAACAGAAATACTGGACTGTTCTACAAAGATCCTGGCATACTATCCATCTACCTACCCCCTTCTTTTCTGCTCCTCATACAAACTTTTCAGTCTTCAACACCTGACAATCACTAATCTGTTTTCCAGTTCTGTAATTTTATTAATTCAAAACTTATATAGAGGAAATCATACAGTATATGACCTTTAGGAGTAGGTTTTTCTTCTTAAACACAGCCTAATTCCCTTGAGATGCATCCAAGTAGTTGCATGCATCAATATTTTTGTGATTTTTCTTGCTGTGTAGTATTCCACTGTATGGATATACCACTTTTAACTATTAAACCATTGCAGGACATTTTAATTATTTCTAAATGTTACATATTTCAAGTAAAACTGCTATGAAACCCTGATTACAGGTCTTAAGTGTGAATATAGGTTTTCCTTTCTTTGGGATGTGTATTTCCTTGGAGTACAATTGCTGGACTGTATGTAAAAAAACGTTTAGTTTTTTTAAGGAATCTGCCAAACTTTTTCAGAGTGACTGCACCACTATATATTGCCATCAGCAATGTATGAAAGATCCAATTTTTCCATATCCTTGGCAGAATATAGTACTATCAATATTTCTTTTATTGTAGCTCTTCCAATAGTTGTGTAGTGGTATCACTTTGGGATTTAAATTTATATCTCCCCAACAGATAAAGATGTTGACTATGTTTTCATGTGCTTGGTAGGAACTTGTATAGTCCTTTTTGGGAAAATGTTCATGTCTTTTACTCACTGTCTTATTGGATGGCTTCTTTGTTTAACTATTGAGGTATTTTTCATGTATAGATTGTACATTTGGTGTCATGTCTAAGAACTCCATCTCCTAGGTCCTAATGACTTTCTGGCATGTTTTCTTTTGAGAGTTGTGTAGTTTTATGTTTTACATTTAAATCTATGACCCACTTTGAATTTTTATATGTTAGGTTTAGGTTGAGGTTCAAATTTTGGCTTAAGGATGTCCAGTTGCTCTACTGACATTTGTTAAAAAACACTATCCTTTCTTCATTGAATTGGGTTTAAACCTTTGTCAAAATCAGTTGGCTGTATTTGTGGGGCTACTTCTGGGCAAACTAATCTGTTCCATTAATCTATGTGTCTATCCCTCTGACAGTAACACACTGTATTAATTCCTATAGCAAGATAAGTCTTAAAATGGAGTAAATGATTGTTCCCACCTTATTACAGTTTTTCAAAATTGTCTTAGCTATTCTTATTCTTTTGTTTTTCCATATATATTTTAGGGTAAGCTTTCTATATCCACAAAAAATATTCCTGGGATTTTAATTGGAATTGGAGCAAACCTACAGATAAATTTGGGGGGAAATGTCATCTTTACAATGTTGAGTCTATCAATTCATGAACAGAATATATCCCTGTTTATTTCTTTGATTTCTTTTATCAGAGTTTTGCAGTTTTTACCATACAAGGCTTCTACATGTTCCATGGTATTTATACTTGAGAATTTCATTTTGTTTGCAAATAGTATTGTGTTTTTCACTGTGATCTCCAGGTGTTCTTTGCTAGTATATAAAAATACAGAAATATAATTCGTTTTAGTGTATTTTATCTCATACCTTAATGAACTCACTTATTAGTTCTGGGAGGTTTTTTTTATTGTACATCCTTGGGATTTTTGTACATAGACTTCCATGTCATCTGCAAATAGGAACAGTTTCATTCTTCCTTTCTAATCTATGTGCTTATAATTCCTTTTCCTGCCTTATTGTGATGGATTCCAGAAATAGGTTGATAAGAATGACAAGAATGAACATCCTTGCCTTGTTCCCATTCTGAGGATAAAATCATTTTGAATAAATTTCTCTGAAAAATGTAAGGTCTGTCTAGATTCAGTTTTTTTTGCATGTGGATGTCTAGCTGTACTAGCACCATTCGCTGAAAAGACTATCCTTTCTCCATTGGATTGCCTTTGTTTCTTTGTTAAAGATTAGTTTTAATACATGGGTCATATGAAATATGGATCATTTCAAAGGGGGCTTGTGGGACCAAAACCAGGAGCTTTTAATGCTGTGACCAAATTTTAAAGTTCTCCATAGGATGCGATAGCCACTTAATATATAGTGCTATGTTTTTATGAGGAGATATAAGATTTAGCCACTCATATCCACATCCATGATTAGCAATGTAGGAAAGTAAAAAGGTTTAATAACAAGCAAAAAAAGGATCAGTTAACTATATTCGTGTGGATCTATTTCTGGGCTCTCTTTACTATTCTTTTGATCAGTTTATTCTTTCACAAATACTACACTATCTTGATTACCGTAGCTTTAAAGTTAAGTAATGGAGTAGTGTCAGTCCATTAACTTTGTCCCTTTTGGTTATTCTGGTTTTCTTGTATTTCCATATAAACTTTAGAATCAGTTTGTGAGTAACTTTCCAGGATTTTGATTGGCAGTGTGTTGCATCTGTAGATTAAGTTGAGACGAACTGGCTCTTAAAAATTTTGAGTCTTCCTATGCATGAACATGGAATATCTTTCCATTTATTTTCTTTCATCTTCTTTGATTTCTTTTATCAGAGTTTTGTAGTTTTCTTTGTATACATCTTGCACATATTTACATACAGGTATTTCAATATTTTTGGTATTAATATTATGGTGTTGAATTTTGAATTTCAAATTCCAGTTGCTCATTGGTGGTATATAGGAACTATATATATAAAACTATTGGTTTTATTTATTAACCTTGTGACCTGAAACCTTGTTATAATTATTTATCATTTTAGGATCTTTTTACTGTTATAGATTGTTTGGAATTTTCTATATAGACAATTATCATCTGACAACACAGTTTTATTTTTCCCTTCCCAATCTGTATAGCTTTTATTTCCTTGTCTTACTGCATTAGCTAGGACTTTCACATAGGATGCTGATAGGAGTGGTAAGTGGGGATATCCTTGCCTGTTTGCCAGTTTTAGAGGGAAAACATCTAGTTTCTCACCAGTAAATATAATGTTAGCTAAAGGTTTTTTTTGTTGATGTTCTTAATCAAGTTGAGGAAGTTCCCCTCTATTCCTACTTTGCTAAAGGATACCCCCTTCATTCCTTTTTATAGTGGAATAATATTCTATTGCAAGTAATATTCCATTTTGTTTATCCACTCATCAATAGATAAATACTTGATTTGTTTCCACATTTGGCAACACTGAATAATGCTGCTATGAACATTTGTGTATCAGCTTTTATATGAACATATTTTCAGTACTCTTGGATATACACCTAAGCATGGAATCGCTAGGTCATAGAGTAACTATGTTTAACTTCAGAGGTACTACCAAACTGTTTTCTACCACAGCTGCACCATTTTCCATTCCCATGAGCAATGCACAAAGGTTCCAATTTCTCCACATTCTTGCCAACAAATGTTGCTGTCTCAAGTATATAGTATAATATAATCTCTTCAAATCCTAGTAGGTGTGAAGTGGCATCTCATTATGGTTTGTATTTTCATTTCCCTAATGACCAGTGAGGCTGAGTAGCTTTTGACATGTTTATTGACCATTTGTAAATCTTTGAAGACATGTCTATTGAAACCCATTATTATTTTTAACTGAGTTGTCTATTATTGGTTTTTAAGAGTTCTTTGTATATTTGGGACACTAAAACCATATCAGATGTAATTTGTAAACATTTTCTTCCATTCTGTATCTTTCTTGATAGTGTACTTTGAAGCACAAAAATATTTAATTTTGATTAAGTCCAAATCCATTTTTTTCTTTGGTTGCTTCTGCTTTAGGTTTTATATCTACCAAACCATTATTTAACCCAAGGTCATGACTTATGCTGTTTTCTTCTAAAATTTCTACAATTTTAACTCTTACATTTAGATCTTCTATCTATTCTGAGTTTTTTTTATATATGGTATGTGACAAGGGTCCACCTTTATGCTTTTGTCTACTTGTCCTCATACCTCTGTTTTCAGAGACTATTCTTTACCCATCAAATCATCTTGGTACTATTGTTGAAAATAATTTGACTATAAATGTGTGGCTTATTACTGGATTCTTAATTCAATTCCATTAATCTATATGTCAATCCTTATGCCAGTACCACACTATGTATATTAATATAGCAGTGCAGGAAATTTTTAAACCAGGAAATTTGAGTACTCCAACTCTGTCCTTTTTTCCAAGATTATTATGGCTATGGAGTCCCTTGCTTTTGTATATGAATTTTATGGTCAGCTTGTCAATTTCTGCAAAAATGATGGTAGGGATTTTGACAGGGATTGCATTGAATCTATAAATCAATTTGGGGAGCATTGCCATCTTAATATTAAGTTTTCTGACCAATGAACATGGGAGGTCTTTCAATTTACTTAGTATGCTCTTAATTTTTTTCAATAATATTTTTGACTTTTCAGTTTAGAAGTATTGTACTTTCTTAAATATATTCCCAAGTATTTTATTACTTTCAATGCTTTGTTAAATTGTTTAATTTTACTTACAGATTTTTCACTTTTAGTATATAGAACCACAATTTTTATATATTGATACTGTATCTTACAATATTATTAAACACATTGATTCTATCAATTTTTTTTGTGTGTGGATTCCTTAGGATGTTCTATATACATGATCATGTCCTCTGCAAAGAGGAAGTTTTACTTCTCCCTTTCCAATCTTGATGAATTTAAGTTCTTCTTCTTGTAAAATTTTCCTAAAATTTCCGGTACAGTGTTGAATAAATGTGTCAAGAGTATACATCTTTGTCTTATTTCTGAATTTAGGGGAAAAGCATTCAGTCTTACACTATTGAATATGAAGTTAGCTACTGTTTATCCTTAGATGTTTTTTAGCAGTTGAAGAAGTTTCCTTCTACTCATAGTTTGTTGAGTGTTTTTATTGTGAAAGAGTGTTGGATTTTGTTAAATGCTTTTCTGTATCTGCTTAAATGATCATGTGACTTTTGTCCATCATCCTATTAATAAGGTATATTACACTGATTGAACTTTAAAGTGTTCAACCAAGAATGCATTTCTAGTACAAATCCCACTTACTCATAGTATATAATACTCTAAAAAATACCTTTCTTGAGATATAATTAATATACAAAACAATTTGTCCACAAAATGTATTAACTTAATAGATTTTGGTACATTCACAGTCATGCAATCATCACCACATTCAATTTTTTGAACATTTAATCACCTCAAAGAAATCTTATACCCATTAGAATACACTCTCCATTCCTACCTTTCTCCAGATCTTGGCAGTCACTAATCTACTTTCTTCTGTCATTATAGATTTGCCTATTCTAGACATTTCATATGAATGGAATATGTAATATGTGATCTCTTGTGACTAGATTCTTTCACTTAGCATAATGTATTCAACATTCATCCACATTGCAGCTTATATCAGTATGCCATTTCTTTTTATGGATGAAAAATATTCCATTGTGTGGATATACCACATTTTGTCTAACCATTCATCAGCTAATAGACACTTAGGTTCTACCTTTTGGCTGTTATGAATAATGCTGCTTTAAATATTCATATACAAGTTTTTATGAGGACATGTTTTATTTCTCTTGAGTATATGCCTAAGAGTCAAATTACTGGGTAATATGATACTCCCTTTAATTTTTTGAGGGATTCTAAAACATTTTATATGTTGCTTGATTCAGTCTCCTAGTATTTTCTTGATGACAGGTATGTTTATATTCATAAGTGATACTGTTTTGTGGTTTTCTTGAGTTGTCTTTGTCTAATTTTGGTACCGATGTAAGCAGGCCTCAGAATATGTTAGGAAGAGTTCCTTCTAATTTCTTAGAGGAATTTGTGAAGAAATGGTATTAATTCTTTAATTTCACAGGTGAAGTCATCTGGGTCTGAACTTTTCCTCATAGGAAACTTTTTATTACATTTTCAGTCTCATATCTTTTCTTGTTAAAGGTCCATTCAGACGTTGTATTTCTTTTTCTTAAGTCAGTTTTGGTAGTTTTCCTATTTACAGGAACTAGGCCATTTCATCTAGGTTATCTAATTTGTTGGCATACAATTGTTCATAGTATTCTCTTATAATCCTTTTTACTTTTATAATGTCAGTAGTAATGACTCAAATTAATAAAATCAGGAATGAAAAAATGGGTTCTTTATTGATCAGACTAGAAAGGTTACTCAATTTTGTGGGTCTTTTCAAAGAACCAACTTTTAGCTTTGTTTCTCTATCATTTTTCTATTCTCTATTTCATTTATTTCTCCTCTAATCTTAATTATTTCCTTATATATGCCTATTTTGGGTTTAGATTCTCTTTCAGTTCTTTAAAGTAGGTTAGGTTACTGATTTGAAATCTTTCTTCCTTTTCAATGCAGACATTTACAGTAATACATTTCTCTGTATCACTGCTTTTGCTGCATCCCATGAAATTTGGTTTGTTGTAGTTTTGTTTTCATTCATCTCAAAGTATTTTGCAATTTTCCTTTCAATTTCTTCTTTGACACATTGGCTATTTAGTAATGTCTGGTATAATTTCTACATATTTGTGATTTCCCCAAATTTTCTTCTGTTATTGATTTCTAATTTCATTCATTTATGGTCAGAGAAGACACTGTATGATTTTCACCCTCATAAATTTATTGAGACCTATTTGATGGACTAAGATAGTCTATCCAACATAATGTTCTCTATACACTTCAGAAGAATGTGGTCTCCTGTTATTGGGTGTTCTACAGATGTCTGTTAGGTCTAGTTGGTTTATAATGTTGGTCAAGTCTTCTCTTTGTTATCTTCTGTATAGTTGTTGTATCCATAATTTAAAGTTGGGCATTGAAAGTCTCCAATTATTATTGGTATATTGCCTATTTCTCCATTCAGTTCTGCCTGTTTTGGTTACATGTATTTTGGGGCTCTCTTGTTAGATGCACATATGTTTATAAATGTTATATCTTCCTGATGGATAGACTCTTATTATAAAATGTCCTTTATGTCTAGTAACAATTTCTGTTTTAAAGTCTATTTTATCTGATATTACTATAGCTGCTCCAGATGTCTTTTGGTTACCATTTGTAGAATACATCTTTTTATGCCCATTTACCCTCAACCTACTCGTGTTTTTGAATCTTAAGTGTTTTCACAGACAGCATATAA